ACTGGCAAAATATTAAAATACATTATAAATATTTCTGGATGCAAACAAAACTTCAAGATGAGGGGGGTATGATCTCTTCTAGTGAAAATGCCACCTATAAAACATTCTGTAAAAGTATGAGGGAGTCTTTTTCTTTTTTTCTAACTATAACTAGCTTACATCCTTGTATGCCTCCAGCCATCTTTCCCTCCATCTCCCCATTCTAAGCAAATTGACACAGCAGTGAGTGACCTTCTTGCAACTGGAGCAAGACGTGCTCTTAACATCTCCATTACTTTTCTGAAACCTCCCTGACCTTTCTTCCTTTTCACTTCCACGGCTGGGTTCTATTAAACTTTACTTTTCTCCACATTCGGTCTTTCTGTCTCTCTTAAATCTTTGTCATCATTGTGCTTCTGTGCCACATTCTGGTCTGTTTACTTGTTATGCAGTCGTCTTAATTGTCGTCTGTGTGCTAGCGCCGTCATTCATTCGCCTCCTTTCACCCTGTGACAGATTACGTTAGATAAGTGTGCGAAAATCAGTTTTTTTTTTCTTAATGAATATAAAGGATTATGTGTAATTACCCTACTTCTTACTCATAATCTCCTAATCCCATTTGACTCATAGTGTTTTTATGAATGTGATAGTTATTTTTAAATGTTTTTACACTGTGAGAAGTTAAGCTGTTTACCAAAGACTTTGACATTTTCTTCATTTCCAAGTCGTTTCTTCAACATAAATGCCTCCCCTCCATCAGAGTATAAATAGCAGGAGATTATTTTGTCGAAGCGTGCTTTTTGTTGTGTCTCCTTCAATTGTCATGTCTGGCCTCGGCTCCCATTACACAATCTTTGCCAAAGGAAAATGGCTCCTGACATATCCATAATAGCTTTGCCTAATACTGTTGTCCCTGAAATTAGCTTTGCAGCATCAAAATACTTTGTCTGAAACAGGGCAATTTGTAGCAGTTGATCTTTGAACCCAACTGGGTTGTTGTGTCTTGTCTGAAGTTTTGTGCAATATCTCTGACAGCCTGACTAAATGCATGTATGAGAGACAGAATAGAAAAACCCTCATCTGGTTTACGATGAGGTCCCCTCTCCTCTCTGCTCCCCAAAACATGAGAATGCCCTTAATTGGTGACGCCACACATTTATAAATGTAAATGCAGTTTATGGCTCCCTTTTTTTTTTGGCTGTAGTTTTACAGTTATCATGTGATTCTTCCTGGCTGGCTGCTGATAGCTTTTAAGAACCCAGAAAACTAAACGGGAAAACAGAAACATCCCAATTATTTTCTAAAGACTGAGCTCATATTCATTCTCACAGATGGAGGTAATGCACGCAAACCCAGACACACACACACAGGGTTGTTTTTGCACACAGTTCCAGATACTGGAAATGTATGTGTATGAGTGTGGTGCTAATCATGAATTCATTAGCGCTCTTTGATGTTGGGCTTTAAATGTGTGATTGTCTGTGTGTGTGAGTGTGTTTTGATATTTGAGTAAATCTGGCAGCTAGCCCAGAGCAGCCAGTTACACAGGGGTCACAGAACTTAAAGCCCCCCTCCACCTTTTGCATCTGATCTGCCACTTTAAAAACAACATTTTGTCTAAACTCCATCATTCAGAGAACATGAATATTTATTTTTTTGTTTTCTAAAGTGGATAAACCATTTTGTCAACGTAATTGGAAGTTATTTTACTGTCATGCTGTAATTTGCACTTGTTCTCAAACATCATCACTTCCTCTTCTTTTTTCACCACCAGTATCACACCTTATTTTAGTATGCATACAAAATAGCAGGCAAGGGAAAATGCATGTACTAATGACATGCAACTGGATAAAGATAAACTATGTGTTAGAATAATCAGTCTGTGTGTCTCTGTCTGTGTGTGTGTGTGTGTGTGTGTGTGTGTGTGTGTGTGTCTGATGTATAAATCGTCAGAACCAAAGCAAGCTTTAATTAATGGCGCTTGATGATCAGCAGGCAAAGGCAAACAGCAACTAAACGAGCTTGCCCCCCCGTCAGGGAGGATAATTGCATTTCGCCAACAGATTCATGTGGCAGACACACTGCCATTGCAGGGTACTGCTGATGAGGGTGTCATTTTTTTTTTTTTCCCTTTCAGATTTTTTTGTATTTTGTGCTCGCAAAACTCCCATTTATTTCCCAAGGGAGCTAGAGGCAGCCTTTCTTTTCTAGTTTTTTTTGTTTTGTTTTGTTTTGAATGTCTGCTGTGTTTGAGTGTGGAAGTGTTTATACTCACGGGGATAGGTGGATGTGAAGGTGGTATAACAGCCTCTCCCTCTGTCTCTCACTGTGTCTCGCGCCGTTCTTTTCCCTCCTTGGACTCCTTTCGTCTTCTGTCCTTCCTCCCTGTCTCTTTTTCCATTAATAATAACTGCTGAATAAAGTTGTCTGGGAATTTCAGAGGAACGCTTTGTTATGGTCGTCCCTCCCGCTAGGTAAATGAGAGGTGGGAGCACCAGTACGGTTCCCTGTGTGAGATTAATATGCAGCCCCCCTTTTTATTTTTAGAGGAACATTATGGGCTCACTGCCCTGTCATTACTCCTCAAGTAGCAGCAGCTTCCACTAGCTCCTTTCTGTAAACCCTGCCCTCTCTCTCTTACACATACTAGTGGGTGGACACAATAACAGGAACACTTTTCAGTGCAGTTTCCCTGCAGCAAATACCAATTTGGTATCTGTTTTTTTTTTTCTAAGGCACCCGAATGTTTGGATTGTACTACTTGTACTTTTTTATGACCGTGTTTTTGGCAGTTTAGTTAACATTATTCTTTGTCACTGAATTTGTATTTACTGCAGGGTTATTTCATGATATTGTAAATGTTTCTATTATTGTCCACAGCCTGTATATCCCTGTCTCTCCCTTCACCCTCCCGCCTTTTGTCAAAGCTATGGTGATGATCGCTCTTCGACTCACACTCATCCGTGCAAGGACAATCTGAACACACGTCACCTTTTCTATCTCTGTATCAGTTTTTATCCCTCTCATCATCCTCTCTGGTCCTCTTATCATGTGTTGAGAGGCTGTCTGCACCGTTCTTTCTTTCTTTCTTTCTCTCTCTCTCTCCCTGCCAGCAGATGGAAGGGAGATTGGTAAGATTGCAGTGAGGTTGCGTTTGACACCACCACTAGTGATTGCTTGGATATGAACCTGAGATGAGATCTGTGGCTGGATAATGTCAGGTAGCACCTCCATTTATGGGTGTCAGCGTTCATAGCAATCATAGTAAAAAGCATTTAAAGAAATAGACTTGATAGACTATATAGTGTTAATAAAGTTATTATAATGACAAAAATATAATTGGAAGGTTATGCCAAAATTAATGGAGTGAAAATGATTGAAAAAGCAATTTAATCAATTTAATTTTTTGCCTATGCCATGAAAATATTGGAATTTTTCTTGTTTTATTTTTTTATTTTACATTGTTTGTTTTATTTTTTGCTGTGAGCTAAAAACACAACCATGACATTGTTCAATAAAACTGTATTTTGCTGCTGGAGATTTGCATTAAGCGTGACAGACAAGCTCTTGCATGGCTTTACTATGAGTGACACTTCAAAGTTTTTTCTTGTCTTCACCCTGTGCCTCTCACACAACAGCGTGCTGATTGTTATAAATCAAATTTGAAAAGAAAAGATGTACTTGTACTATTTTTACATATTGGTAGATGCTGTAAGTACTATACACAATACTCTTGTTTTGGATCAAGTTAATACCTTGGTCACAGCTCACAGTATTTTATTTTTTCATAAAGGACAAATTGGTACATGTAAGAAAATCTGATTGTTGTATTTTGTAATGATGGCATTTTGATTTCAGTAGAATGTAGTTCACATCAGAATAATACTGTGGAGTTCCAGTGCAGGAAGCGATTTGGATTAGCGTTGCCTTTCTTGTGTGTGTGTCTGTGTGTATTTGTAAAACTAATACCTGGATACTACCCAGGTGAACACCACTCTTCATATTATCCAGCTTGCCACAGGAGAGCCCTAATGAGCAGGCGACACACACAGGGGAGCACCATGTTTACAGGAAATGCTGTCATTTCCGCTTGTTAATCTGTGTTGGTGTGTGTTTTATACATGTGCTGGGGCACTTTGACAGTAACAGTTCTACCCACCACATGCAAAATGTTCATTAAATTGGCATAGTTTTACATGTATTGTGTGCATGTGTGTGTGTTTGTGCCTGTCTGATATGGCTGTATGTGTAATGCTGATCCTTTGCAAATGACCTAAGGACTATAGGGAAGCTTATTTCTGCAACCACTTGCACTTTCTCCCTAATTGTTCCTCTTCTGCCCATAAACCTTTTGCTTTTTGTGTGTGTGTGTGTGTGTGTGTGTGTGTGTGTGTGTGTGTGTGTGTGTGTGTGTGTGTGTGTGTGTGTGTGTGTTAAAGAGAGAGAAGGTCCTTTTCTCTCTGCTAGCAGTGTCAGCAGGTGAGCTGCCCTATTGGGAGAAAGAGAGAAATCGCCAAAGCATGCAAATTGCTACTCCAGGGGGAGAATCAATTAGGTGCATAGCGGCTATAGCAGAAAGGCAAGGAGGGGTGGAGAGGGGCCGGGGTCCATGCAGAGAGATGGTGCAGAGCCATGCTGATCGCCTCCTCTGAGACAATGCATTACTCCTCCTCTTCTGTCCCCTTCCTCAATCCATAGGCCGATCCTACTGGCTAAAGCTCTCTTTGCACAGTGCCTTTTAAACCTCTACTGTGCCTCAGCCTCATTCCTTTTTTGTCTAGCCCATTTCTTTTCTAAGTATAGATTGTGCTAGAGTCTCAAGTGTGTGCCCTCTTCACCTGTTTTCCTCATTATTCTTTATAATGATGCTCTGCTCTAATCTGTGCCGGATAAAATTAGAACATAGATGATGTAATAGTCTTCATATACATAATGTATATTTATGAATACTATGTGATAGTTGCCTTGAATTTATAGTAATTTGTTGGTATTCATTGGGTTTTTGTCTCTTACCTCTTTAGGTACATAATGTCCTCCATCTCAAGAGAGGCTTGATCCTGATTGGCAAACAGTACTGGACTGTGCCTCCTTCCCTCTCCTCACCACTGCCAGCCTCAGCACAGCCATGACGTCCCTCACGAGGACACGGACCTGCTTTTTTGTGTGCTGCTTCCTGTCTAGTCTGGCGCTTTCTGTGACCTCACAAACAGTGGTGCAAGCCCCACAGGCTCACAGTGCTGGTTCCCAGGTGATCACAGCGTCCCTTCAGGAGGAGGAGTATGCATCGTTTCACGCTGAGAACCCAGAGTGGACATTCAACCATCTTGCGGTGGACTTTCGCAATGGCAATGTTTATTTGGGAGCCGTCAATCGCATATACAAACTGTCCCCGAGCTTGGAGGTTCAGGTGTCCCACGAGACTGGCCCAGATGAAGACAACCGCAAGTGCTACCCACCACGTATTGTCCAGCCCTGTAGTGAGCCACTGACACTCACCAACAATGTCAACAAGATGCTTCTGATGGACTATCGGGAGAACCGGCTGCTGGCATGTGGCAGCCTCTACCAGGGCATCTGTAAACTCCTTCGCCTAGATGACCTCTTCAAACTCGGAGAGCCCTTCCACAAGAAGGAGCATTACCTCTCTGGTGTCAATGAGAGTGGCTCTGTGTTTGGTGTTATTGTATCATATGGCAATGCCTCTCCAGACATGCTGTTTGTAGCCACAGCAGTGGATGGCAAGCCTGAGTACTTCCCTACCATCTCTAGCCGCAAGTTGGCCAGAAACTCTGAGGAGGATGGCATGTTTGCCTATGTCTTCCATGATGAGTTTGTGGCCTCTATGATTAAGATCCCTTCGGACACCTTCACTGTCATCCCAGACTTTGACATATACTACATTTATGGCTTTGCCAGTGGGAACTTTGTGTACTTCCTGACTTTGCAGCCTGAAATGGGGGGCGGACCAACCACTGGGTCCTCCTCTGCTGGCCGGGAACAGGTCTACACCTCCAAGATAGTCCGCCTTTGCAAGGCAGACACTGCCTTTAATTCCTATGTGGAGGTGCCTATTGGATGCATTAGTGGCAACGTGGAGTATCGATTACTCGAGGCGGCCTACCTGTCCAAAGCTGGTGCTATCCTGGCACGCTCACTAGATGTGGCACCGGATGACGATGTACTGTTCGCTGTCTTCTCCAAAGGCCAAAAGAGGCGTCCACGCCAGGCCTCGCAGGACTCTGCACTGTGTGTCTTCTCTCTGCGGAAGATCAACGAGAAAATCAAGGAGAGGTTGCAGTCGTGCTACAAGGGTGAGGGCACACTGGACCTGGCCTGGCTCAAAGTCAAAGATATTCCCTGCAGCAGTGCGGTGAGTACTACTAAAATACACACACACACACATTCACACACATTCACACACACACACACACACACACACACACACACACACACACACACACACACACACACACACAGTTTAATGACAGTACTGGGGAGATATTTACTATATTGCTGGTTCTCTTTTCTTCCACACATATTTTGCGTGCAGCATGTAACATGTAGTGCTCTAATCTACCAGAACAGCAGGTGTCTTGCAGTTATGTTAATTAAACCCACTCATTTAGGAAAAGGGTGTTTCATAGGACTGTATTGAAAGAAAAGCCAATCAGTGATGATTTCCTATTGTTTTAATCATTTCTAACTAAGGGACGCTACAGGTGAGTATCTCTGAGGGAAAATCAGTTGTGAAAGCTCTCCCACATGTTACTGTAATGAGCTTGTGTGCACTGTGGGAGGCCTTCATGAACACTATATTCTTGGGTGGGTACGTGCTCCATCACATTAAGATGAGATATTAACCATCCACTGCCTCTTTTAATCCGCTCACCCTTTAAACAATGCAGCTGAATGCTCAGCCAAATTACCATAATTCCATTCTCTATAACAGCATTACAAATTCAGTGATTCAGTTCATTTGATTTCTCACTTTGTGAACATAAAAAACAAGGTTAAATTAGGTGTTACATGTTTAGGCCATCTCCACAAGCACCCAAAGCTGTTTAAAGTTTTTTTCCATTTTTTAAATTTCTATTTTGGATCTCATATTACGTCATTAAAAAAAGCTGCCAACCTCAAGAAATACAAAATGACCTTGATCAGAGGGATTTTGTTAGTTATCATGTTCCTCTACACACTGTAGCAGGCGTGGCTAAATGAACCATGTTCACTTGCCAAATTCAGAGCGGTGTAGATAATGGGCTAAATGACACTGTTTTTCAGCAGACAGATCAGTTAAAGGTATATTGCTGCAAATTTTACATAACTGACAATGTAAGTACAGTATTTCTGTTATTTATGAAATAAGACAAAACTTCTTGCATTAGAAAGACTGAATGGATGCACAGGTGAGAAGAAATACAATTTTTTTTTTAGCAAGAATATGATAATCAGAACTACAAATAGTATTTTGCCACTCAGCCCAGAAAATGTATACAGACATAAAAACTTGTAACAAGAATATGATCGCTTGGTCATATTTCAGAACCATAAATTTGATCCTCTCACTGCTGCTCTGTCCATATAGTTCTGACCTTAGCCATACGCTATCTGGAGACATTATGAAGTTGACCCTCTCTCGTGTTTGGTTCTGGAATCGCAGTGTTTATCTATTAATCCGTCTCTGGCACGGCACACGTTTCAGGGCGCCTTTGTCCGCTGCTTGAGGGCCTGATAAATCATGCCTGGGGTGGAGCTGTCAGCAGGGAGAGGAAGTGTGAGGGAGCACACAGGGGTTAGCGCTGAGGAATGATGCCATTTCAGCATGCGCCACAGTATCGCCACCGCCACCGCATAAATTAGACCCTGCTGAACAAGTGACGGTGGACTCTGCAGGAGATAGATGAGTTCTGACACACATACACACGTGCCACCACACTTTTTAAGTATGACTACTGCAGAGATGGAGAAGGTGGCTTTAAAAGGCCAAGAAAGGCTTTTGATGAAGTAGAATAATAACAATAAATACATTTTTATATGAAAGGTTTATTTATTAAAATGTAGATCAGATAATTCTAGTCTGTTACAGTCATTTAAATACATGGATACACAAACACATAAATCAGAGGCCTATTGCTTGAGCATTAGTAAATTAGTAGATGTAAATATAGGCCATATATATTTCCTGTTTTTTCACATTGAGAACATGTTACGTGTTAAGCTCTATAGTTGCCAAATCTTTTGTGTGTCTGCAAAGGCTGGTTGTCTTTCTAATATCCTATATCCATTATGAATCGTTGGTCGTTTGTCTCTGATTAATGCCTATGTTGCCTTAAATGATGCATGACTCGGAGCGCTTGTCTCCGAAATCCTCAGAAACGTACTTTAAGCTCCTTGTTCACATCTTCTCCACTCTGTGCCACCCATGGGTATATAACCAGCATAGACACACACAAGCTCATGCTCTTTCTTGAACATACCAAACAAGGTTGCTCAGAAAATTGTGGAAGTCGGGTTCTTTCTGGGTTCCTGCACTCATACACTCAGACACTGTAATTGTGGATCACCCCGCCACATAAATATCAAATGAAGTTCCTACTCACTCTCTTGCAACACTTCTCTTACACAGTCTTGCTTTATTTTTCCTAATTTTTCCCTACAAGACAAAGTTCAAGTCTAAAAATTGGTTGTTTTTGGATCAAAGACCGATGAAGATTGTCTTGAAATGTTGCTGTGTAAAACTATAAGGTATACTTTATGTACACATACTCTATGTGGACAATGTATACATGATACAGATTACTAATGTAACTGATGAGTGAGTTCAAAATCATAAAAAAAACTATGTGATATAATCATCTTACACTATAATCTTTTTATAAAAGATATATATTTTTATTTATTTAAGAAATAATCAAATCATCAAAGTCAGTATAAACTTGTTCAAGGACAAGAACATTTACAGGAGACAGGCCTGAGTGTGACCGTATAAACACTTGCCACCATCAGACCTTTTGTTGCTGTACACCATCTTTTAAGAGGCTTTCAGTCAGAGTGGGAGAGATGTAAAAAGCAAGAAGTTGAGAAGAAAAAGTATGTACAGAGAGTGGCATGATGGGTGAGAGAGCAGTAGAGAGGATAGATGGTAAGAGTGCGAGTGAGGGGGGATGCTTCCTCTCTCCCCCAAATGGCTACGCTTGGCTGAGCCACATAATGCATGCTCAACAGTATAAGTCTGCAAAGGGCCTGCATCCATAGATCATTGTGAAGTGGCATGTGACCTATAAAAAAAAAAACACTGCCTGCTCCCTACATGTTCACTGTGTCAGCAGAAAAAAAACAGAACAACAAAACAGCGGGATCGCAATAAATTCACTCTCTGCTCTCTTCTCTCTCATCCTTGATTCATTGCTCACTGCCTGTGCTGCTCTTTTCTCCTTTTGCCTGTCCTTCTCCTCATGGTCTTATAAAAATAGCTGCCATCATACCATCTTCTCATTCTCTGTTATTCTCCCCCTCCTCCTCTCCACCTTATTTCCCTTTACAATGCTTGCCATAAGCACACAGCAAAGTACTGTCTCTCACCCCCCCCCCTCACCCCCCCTCCCTAAACATGGGCGAGAAAATTACAAGGTCGCCTGTAAGTCCCTGACAGGCCACGGCCATCCCCTCATCCCTTCTGCTAATGATCATTAATTACATGTCATTAACTAACATGCCACGGGCTATTCTTCCACATTTGTCATGTGCTATCGACTTCACATTCTGAATTCACTCCAATTAATTAGATTATTCTACTCAGCCGCTGTTTCTTTGAGTCTTTTTCTTGATCTTGCTCACAGTCCTCCTAACACACGTGCTCATCCCTCCCTGCGTTTCAAGCGAAGGGTGAAACGCAGGGAGCGTTTCACCCTTCGCTTGAAAGGAACTCTTCCAATATGACATTATCTGCTCCCCCCCCATGCTCATTTTTCATGTTCCTGACTCCTTTCTTTTGTCAGTTTTGTTCTGTGTTTGACCAACCTTTGGTGTTGTCTGCTGTGCTGCCCATCTCTATCCCTCCTCCTCCTGATTGCGGAGCTTAATCAGTAGCTGGCTGCTGCTGCTGCTGATGAGTCAGTCTAGGCCACATCCTCAGGAAGGGAAAGGCTAGTGGATTCATTAAGAACATCCAGACTACCCCCCACCCCCCACCCCCCAACCTCCCCACTTCACCCCACTCTATCCACATATCCGCTATCCTGCTTGCTGGCTGGCTCGCTAATTAAATCTCCATACATGATACCACTTGCTAAAGGTCAGAATCCATCACAATATCATTATTCTGTGATTAAACAAATGTCCGCTGCTTCCTTCACTACACTACTGACTGGCCTCTACCTGGAAACTGAATTGGGTGCCTTCATTTCATTACCTGCTTGTTTTTGTATTTTGTCTGGCTCTTAAAAACTCTTTTGTATGCTCTCTCGCTCTCTTTCCCCACTATTTAACTTTCTTACTCCCTAGTTAGCAGAAATGTTCAATATTTAAAGTGTAATTAAAATTTCCCAAGCTATAATTCAATTCAAACGCTAATCCAATCCAAAAACCAATACAATCAATCACACCTTTTATGAAGTGAACTGTATAACAGTATACTAAAAGATGTATTTAATATAAAAATAACATAAATGTAACTCCTCCACTTCTACTCTCTATGAAAGCGATGGATGTAACTAAGTATACATAATAAACTGACAACTCTGTGTGGTGTGTAATACACGCATACTTGTTTTTCTGAATTTGTATCACTTGAATAAATAGAATTTTGGGTGACAAATAAGATGGTAATGCCTAGTAATCATTCCAAAAGAACTCATGAAAGATTTTCTGCCTGTACACGGTGAAGCGGAAAACATGGGTTAGGAAGTTATCTGACACGTCTTTCTCTTTTATAATATTGAGTTCTATTTTCAGCTCCTAGTTTGATTTGTGAAATCTTCTTTTCCCTATCTCCGCATCTCTTAAACTCCAATCTTGCCTCTGACATTCTCATACCCTCTCTCTCTCCTGGCTCTGCTTTGGTGATGTCTCTGTTTCTTTCCAAAATCGTCATGCTGTTTCGTTAGTTCCTGATTTGATTGTTTTCCCTAACCAATATTTATTATCTGTTGTAGCTGCTCAGCTAACGGTTGGCAGGTGTGAGCATCCGCAAACAAGGTTTTAACAAAATATCACAGGCTTACCAAAGCTTGCCTCCTCACATTGAAACCTGCCAACAGAACATGCAAATAAATCAACTTTGTTTCAGGCACACCCTGAGAAGTGTGTGTGTACAACCTAATATTCCCATTCATACTCCACTATACACACCTTTGCTGCATTTTCCAGCAT